TATATGTCTATATAAATAATGTTTAAGTTTTCCACAATGAACAATGAGTTTTTCCTGAGTAATCTTTGAAGTTTCCAGGAAGAAGATGGGGCCCCACAACCACAACTCCACCTGGTTGATATGATGTCATGATACTGATAGCGCTACTACAAGACCTGTTTTGGGCACCAGCTGCACAAGACAGTTTCAACTTGGTTAGCTGAAATGGTGCACATCTTGTACAACATTCTGGCCAGACCTCCAGAAAATACTCAGAGACTGTTTGCAATTTTAAAAGACATTGATCTTGAAATTTAACCATCATTTTACTTTCACAGGATCCCCAAGAAAGAACGTCACCCCCATGAAAGCTGGAAGTAATTCTAGAGGATGATGTCCCCTCTCCCAGCACAGTTTGTCCTCAGACTTAGGGACATCATTTAGGGGTTGATTATAGTTGATATACGGTTGAGGGTTGGGGGAGAAATTTTATAAGCTCAGGAATCTGTTTGATTAAAAAAAAGAAAAATTGGATGATGGGATAATAGATTGGTATTTGTGAGTTATTGTTTATAGACAATTGCATTGGATACAAAGTTGAATATTGGATACAATATTGAATATATTGAATATTGTATGCATGCATGCTTCTACCTCTGCTTAAAACATTTTTATGTATTGATATATATATATATATTTACCATATTGCAGTGTACATTTCTACCTCTGATTAAGATACTTATATATTATTTATGTATTGGTATATATATTTACCATATTGCAATGTATACTTGTACATTGTTTACTTTTGGAGGTCATTGTCCTCAATTTTTGCACAGTTGTTTCTTGTCTTAGTCTTTAAGTTAGATAGGTATTAGGAATCGTAGATCAATAGTCATCTATGTTTGTCATATTTATAGTTAGACTAATCAGCTTCTTTATATACATAGAGATTATATTCTGTATAAATTCTGTATAAATTGATAATCTTCAACCTCCTCAAAGAACTGTCGAAAATGGCATTTAATCTAACTTAGAGTTTTATGGTAGAGAGACACAATCGTTCCTGGCAACACCGATCTATTCTTGAGAGATTGTTGGGCACCAAAGACACTCCACTTGGAGCTTGTCTTCTTCTTGGCAAAACTGGCCTCTGGGCAAGGAACTTCTCATACCTCAACTACTGACAAAATATATACTATCTGGAAATGGATAAGCAGAAGTGTCAAATTATGCCAAGACAGGGTAAGATGGTTTTGAATAATTTCTTGCCTTTAAAAATAATCTGTCAATTATTCTAGGCCTTAGCCAAAGTTTGTTGCTTCAACGCTGCAAACGTGACTTTGGGTGATTGCCCAGGTAGCTAGTTGTCTCTGTGATTTGCTGCATGTTTTGGAAGTTGTTTGATTACACTTCCTAATTACTCAGGTAACATTATTTCCCTTCTCAGATATTTGATGTGATTGAAGACTGGATAAATGTAGTTACTTTTTTCTCATGACTTGGCCAAGTTATTTATTATACAAGACTTAAGCTAGTTAGAATAGGATATTTGTTCTTAGCGTATATAATTTTGTAGTAGGTTTAGAACTCTCTTACTTAAACAAAAGGGGGAGGTGCTGTGGGAGCTCCTTCTGCTCCTTCAGCCTTTGAGACACCAACTCACTGGGGTGTGGTCTCTTTCGCTTTAAAAAGAAGCAGCAGATGTCCCCAGTTAGTTCCTTGGGCAGCTGAGGATAGGGAACCTGAAATGACCCTATCCTATAGCAATACTGACGAATATCTTGCATATCACCATAGAACCTTCATCTGGTGATGAATGGAGATAGAGACAGAGACCCACACTGGAGCACTGGACTGAGCTCTCAAGGTCCCAATGAGGAGCAGAAGGAGGGAGAACATGAGCAAAGAATTCGGGACCACGAGGGGTGCACCCACCCACTGAGACAGTGGGGCTGATCTATTGGGAGCTCACCAAGACCAGCTGGACTGTGACTGAAAAAGCATGGGATAAAACCGGACTCTCTGAACATGGCGAACAATGAGGGCTGATGAGAAGCCAGGGACAATGGCACGGGGTTTTGAGCCTACTTAATGTGCTGGCTTTGTGGGAGCCTAGCCAGTTTGGATGTTCACCTTCCTAGATATGGACGGAGGGGGGAGGATCTAGGACTTACCACAGGGCAGGGAACCCTGACTGCTCTTTGGACTGGAGAGGGAGGGGGAGAGGAGTGGGGGGAGGGGGAGAAAGGTGGGAGGAGGGGGAGGGAAATGGGAGGCTGGGAGGAGGCAGAAACTTGTTTTTTTTTCCTTTTCTCAATAAAAAAAAAAAAAAAAGAAGAAGAAGCAGCAGCCCTCCTCTTGCTCTCTTACTTCGGACTCCGGTTCTGGAGACTAGACTCCTTTCCTGGTCATGTAGGATGGTGTTCTGTAAGATTTTTTTCCCTCAAATAAATAACCCTTTTAATAATAAGTCCAAACTGGTGTGGGATTGTTTTGCACTTTAACTTCCCAAATAACTGACTTGAAGACTTAATAAAAATTTTAATTGCTTGGCTGATAGCTCAGGCTTGTTATGACCTAACTCTTACATTTAAATTTACCCATATTTTGTATCTATGCTTTGCCACATTGCTCATAGCTTGTTATCTCATTTTCTACACATTCAGTTTTCCTCGTTAGCTGGCTGGCATTCTTCTGACTCCAAACCTTCTTCCTTCGAGCATTCTCAGTTTGGCTGTCCCACTTATAATTTTTGCCTGGCTACCAATCAATCAGCATTTTATTAAACCAATTTGAGTGAAAAATATTTATATTGTACAAAGGGAGTATTTCACATCACTGAACCTCAAGCCCACAGTTACAGTTAGACTGGCTGGCCAGCAAGCCCTCTGCATCTACTTTTCTCACAGAAACCAGGTTTCAATGTTGCCTAGCTTTTACATCTATGTTGGGGGTCAAAATTAGATCTTTATGCTTACTTAGCAGCCATCTTCACTACTGAGCCCTTTCCCAGTCCCACTTTTAAAAATTTAGATGGAGACCTCGTGTAGTGCAGTATGGACTTGAGCTTGCTGTGCAGCCAAGGATGACCAGGGCATTTTGATTCACATACAATCTACTTCTCAAGTGCTGTGACTACAGACCTCAGCCACTGTCTTTAGCTCTTATTGTTTCTGCTTATACTTTCCCCATAAATGTGCCCCATTGTCTGTTTTATTGCATGACAACTTTCTTTCCTTTTCATTAAAATATTTCATTTAAAAATTAAAATATAATTCCATTGCTTCCCCTTTCACTTCTTCCCTCCAACTGCTCCCATATGTTCCCCACATTTCACTCACTTTCAAAATTTTGGCTCCGTCTGTGATAATTTTGTGGATAGACGGACAGACAGACAAACATATTCATATATATTAATATAATATAATATAACATAATATATATGATTTCAGGGCTGGCTGACTAATCGGTATTGGATAACCAGTTAGGGAGCTCATCTGAGGTGAAGACTAATTTTCTTCCTCCCAGCACTCCTCAGTCCTCTGTAGTTCTTTGTCTAGGGCTAGGCCCTGTGGGGTTTCCTCCTTACATCGTGGCGACTGTATTGGTGTTGTCCTTGTTCAGGTCTGCCTGACAATTTTCATGAAGACTGCATGGTGTCATATGACTAAGAATGTGTCCCACCCATGACAATTAGGAATAAGTACATCTAATTACATGCCATTTGAACATGAAACAGAAACACTGTAACCTGGGCTAAGGAAGACACCACAGGAGAAGACTACGTGACCACCTGGGGAAATCTGTAGCCGTGACTAGGGAGTGACAGGGCACCTGGGCACACCTTCTCAGTACACAGCCAGCAGTAGGGGCCCAAGGCCTCCTCCAGGGTGCAACCATGGTGTCACTGATTAGTGTAGCCTTGTAGATGTGCGTCGGGTAGAATCTCATGGTCATTGCCTAACAGGGAGATGCTTCAGAGAACTCCTTGAAGGAAAGCAGCTCAGGATTCCTGAATAGAAGGGAAATTTTCTATAGCTGCCCCCATTGCTCTGAGATAGTGTGTTCTTGTTATCTGAGTGTCCTGTACAACTGTGCTTAAATGTCCTCAGCTCTGTGTTCTCCCTTCCTTCTTTCCAAAGGTGAAGCCTCCCATCCTATGGAGCTTGTAGCAGGAGCTGATGAAGAGAAGCCCACACTTATGTAAGCTGAGTCTAGAGAAGTCGCAGCTGCAGCAGATGGAGAAGGAGGAGAGGAAAAGTTTGCAGACAAGAGGAGGTCCTCCTAACTGTCAACACCAGGAAAAGTCACATCTGCATGGTCTACCTAAATGTCATTCCCTTGGTAACACAGACACATACCTTAGCCATCTCAGATGGCACTTGAAACAGATATTGAGAAGTCAGCTCTTTATTGTAAACACAGGGCTGAGAGGACAAGGGTGTAATAACAGAATATTGGTGGCAGCAAAATGTAAGACCTAGGACAGAACTGGCTGTTGACCCATGCCACTTATGGCCCTTATGGCCACTAAAGTTCCACACAGAAATGGGTGGGGTAGGGAAAACAGTTAGGAGGAGCCTAGTTACCATATCATTGCCTGTGTCCTGTGAACCCTGTGAGTAGTTTCTGTCAGAGTCCAGGGCCAGAATGAAATCCTGAGTATGGAGGGTCACGGATCATCATCTGTATTGGGAAAAAGCACTCTTTCTTCCTAGGGTCTTGCCTGTCTTTCCTGTAGCCTTGCAGTCCTCTATGGTAAGAGCGGGGTGAGCATAGTATGAAGGGTGACAAACAAGAACATGTGTGTCAGTGCTACCCTACAGCAGAAACTGGAAAGTGTCTGCAATCCACAGGGCTAACTAACTATGGCTTAGAGGTGTTGCCTCCTGAAAAGAGACCTTGTCACCCTGTTTAAATGACATTTCCTTGATAACTTGGACATGTATCTTAACAATCTCAGAAGACACACAAGACAAATACAGTGGGCATTCACTTCTTTATTGCAAACAGAAGCACTGAGGACATCAGCATGTATTAGCGGGGTTTTGGCAGCAGCCAAATCTCATGAGCATCTGACACCTGGTGAGAGTGGCACTCTAGGTCTCCCCCACAATCTTCAGAGAAAGAGGTTATGGGAAGCCGGAGGAGAACCTCTGGGTGCTCACAGTCTCTTATATCTTCTGTATTTTTCTCTCCTCTTCAAAAACCATCTCTACAGTGATTGGGGAAAAGGAAAAGGTTTAGTGTAGTAAATAATTGAAGTACTTAAAAAAACAGCAGGAATCTGCAGAATTTTAACCTCTACTAATAAAGACTTTGTCCTTTCCTAGTTGTAGTAACCAGTACTTGCCAGTTAGATATAGGTCAGATGACACTTTGAATCCCATAGCTGGCACCATTATTAAGGCCAAGAACCTGTGCCCAGATAGATCATGTCCTAGAGGAGAACATATGACTATTAACACTGCTAAATCAGAATAATATTAAACTGACTCCTAATGACTTATAGTTCTATCCATAGATTAGTGAATTTTCAGCCCTCATTAGAGAAACTTCTATTTTCGGTAAATGGTGATCAACACAGAGAACTACAAGTGGATAATAGGCAGAGAAAATAAGAGTTTGAAGAATTGTCATCCACAAATATGCTCCATGCCTTTATCCAAGGCTCAGATATCATTTTGGGAGAGAGGACAGAAAAACTGTAAGAGCCAGAGGCTGTGCATGACCACAAGGAAACTGTTTTCTTGGAACATCAGGGTGTGTGTGTTGTGTGTATACATGGTGTGGGACAGTGGTCTATATTCTGTCAGTTATATTTTAAATAAACACTGATTGGCCAGTAGCCAGGCAGGAAGTATAGGCAGGACAACCAGACAGGAAGTAGAGGCGGGCCACAAGAACAGGAGAATTCTGGGAAGAAGGAAGCCCATTGCTCTGCAGTCTTTTATCCAGCTGCAGAGGAAGCAATATGTGACTGCCTTGCTGAAAAAGGTACCGAGCCATGTGGCTAACATATACTAGAATAATGGGCTAATATAAGTTTTAACAGTTAATAAGAAGTCTGAGCTACTAGGCCAATCAGTTTATAACTAATGTAGACCACTGTGTGATTTCTTTGGAACTTAATGACTGCGGGTACTGGGCAGGACAGAAAATCTCAGAATATATATATATATATATATATATATATATATAGTCTTAGATATGCAATATTTGGGCAGCACAAATTGGTCTGGATGAGTTATAAAAAGTGGGTACACAAAGTTGGGTGGATGGAGGAAGAGTTGGGGGAGGACAAATATGATCAAAACATGTATGAAATTTTCAGAGACTAATAAAAATTTTAAAAACCCAGTAGGAGTAGGTAATTTAACTGGATATTTTCTTCGTTTCCATAAGATAAGTTTTCATTAGTTATATGAGTTCAGCCTGTAAATTATCAGCAATTCCCCCTGTAAGGATAGAATTTATTATTAGTTTTTAAAATTAGTGTCATGGATCCCCTAGCTACACTTATTTGGGTAATTTATATATCACAAACACGTTATGACTCCCCAGAGAAATGCTTTTTAAAGAATGCCAGCCTTGCTGGGGAGTGGTGCACACCTTTAATCCCAGCACTCGGGAGGCAGAGGCAGGCAGAGCTTTGTGAGTTTGAGGCCAGCCTGGTCTACAGAGTGAGTTCCAGGACAGGCTCCAAAGCTACACAGGGAAATCCTGCCTCCAAAAACAAACAAACAAAAAACCCTACTGGTAATTTTGTTTTATTATCCTCCACCATTAGCAAAAATAAAAACATACTATGTCCCTAATAAGCAATTTCAAAAAACACTTATAGGAACAGCAAAAAAAAAAAAAAAAACTCAAAAGAAATGCTCCTAACCCCCAAAAGAAAATCAGTCTTACAATGCATGCATATATATCCTACATAACTGTCATTCATGCAACTATCTTATGCATTATCTGTACATATTTTCTAAGCTAAAATGCATACATTCATAATTCAGCCACAAGATACTTGTATATATAGCAGGAGGGTAAGCATGTCATTGGCCTTCAGATGGGCAGCAACAGAGGGGCCTCACAGGCTGGCATGACAGGCTATGGACGACCCCGGCAGACCATCAGTTAGAAGGGAAGGCCAGCCCCAAGCCTGCCTTTCCCAGATACCTGGCTACAGCGTCCTGTTTAGCCTGCCACACCCACACCTATGTAGGTTCTTAGCCCTGACAGCTTCGAGGCTGTCACTGCGCAAAGATGACTGCACATGGGAACCCCCACCTCTCCCCAGCCTCAGCCCAGCTTCTTACCCCAGAGCCACCACCCTTGGCCCCTGCTCCCAGCTGCACCTCCACTGTCTCTCCCATTCTGGAGTAATCAGGGAGAAGTGGGCTGGGGTAGCCTGGGTATTGGCCAGCTGCCCACTGTCCTTGGTAGCAAATGCCATCTGAAGGAGACCCAGCCCAACCTCTCCATCTTTTCCTGGAATATTTTTTGGGTTAAATTTCAAAAATGAAAAATACAGACACACACACACACACACACACACACACACACACACACACATACACACACACACATCTTTTCCCAAAAAAAGCAGTAAAAATAGTTTAGTAATTCTTTGCTCCTGAGGAAATGAGCCATTCCTAATTAGTAGGGCTTTCTTGTTCCATTTTCTACCAACCAGGACCAAAAATCTCAAAAGACATTTTGAGGCAGAGGCAGGTAGATCTCTGTGAGTTCAAGGCCAGCCTGGTCTACAGAGTGAGTTCCAGGACAGCTAGGGCCGGACAGCCTTGTCTTGAAAAAACAAATACATATATACACATATACATACACACATATGTATAGTTTTTACTACATATAATATATAATATTTAACATATAATACATAACATGTCAATATGTTATCTAATTGATATATTAATGTTAATATACTTTATGTGTTGCATAATATATTAAAGATTAGTCTATAATATATTTATATTTATATATTATACCACTAAACCATCATTCTAGGTCACTCAAAATGTCTTTTGAGATTTGTGGTCCTGGTGGGTAGAAAATGGAACTAGAAAGCCCTACTAATCAGGAATGGCTCATTTCCAGAAGACACATAACTTCCTAAGGAACAAAGAATGTACTAAACTATTTTTACTACTTAAGTACATATGTACTACATATACATGTATCTTGTGGCTGAATTATGAATGTATGCATTTTAGCTTAGAAAATATGTACCCATAATATATAAGATAGTTCTACGAATGTTATATAAATATGCAGGATATATATGTATACACTGTAAAACTGATACTCTTTTGGGGCATTAGGAGCATTTCTTTTGAAGTTTTTGCTGTTCATATTAGTGTTTTATGAAATTGCTTATTAGGGACGTGGAGTGGAGAGAATTTGAGTTCAGTTCCTAATACCCATTTGGCTGCTCATACATACGTGTAACTCCAGCTCCAGGAAATTTATGCCCTCTCCTGGCTCCCTTGGGTGCACACACACATATGTGCATGCGCGCGCGCGCACGCGCACACACACACACACACACACACACACAATTTAGAGATAAATATTTAAAAGTCAATATGAAACATGGAAAATTAAAAAAGCAACACAAATTTTGACTCAGAGGACCAACAGGACCTGCAGATAAAGTAACATCTAGAATCACTTTCCTCCCAAATGGCTGTTCCGTGCTTACTGACCTGCACTCTGGCTTCAGTTACACCCAAGCAAGATGCCAATCGTTTCCTGAGGGTAAAAATGGAAGACATTCAGTATTTGGAATTATGGATATGTAAAATTAAATATGAGAAAGATATTTTATATGTGTTTCGAAATATTTTGTCTCATTCTCTACCTTCTCTGATATTCGCTTTGAGAATTTTGAGAGTTTTAGAACAAATTATTTTATTACCATTAGTAGATATGCAAACCAAAGTATATCTCTAATAAGCAATTTGAAAGCCACTAACACTGTCTAGTAAAATCCTCAAAACAGTGCTCCTAACACTAGGTGTAGTCATACAGGAGACTTAAAACAACAACAGCAAAAACTAAACCCAACACAAAACAAGGCAAAAACTACAAAACAAATGTACATAGGGAAAGCCCAGGTGACATGTTTTGTCAGGATAGAAGGAAGCTCAAATAAAGATTAATGGAAGCATCCCAGAATTTTAAATATTCAAATAATACACAAGGTACTCCAACCTGCTAATCATCAGAAAAATGAAATATCACACTTATTTCTTTTCTTAATGTGTGTATGTGTCAATGGTGTATATGGGAGGCGAGAGGACAGCTTGCCGGAGTCCTCTTCTTCCATGTGTGTCTTCAGAATGGAATTCAGGATCTCAGGCTTGGTAGTGTCTTCACCTGATGAGCCATCTTGCCAATCAAGGTAAAGAAATATTAAAGTCATAGCAGGCCCAAGGTGAATGTTATAAAATCTCACAACACTAGCCACACAGTCCTGAATTCCAAGCACCATTGGAAACTGAGGTAGAAGACTCCTTGCAAGTACCTGGACAGCCTTGCTACAGAGTGAGGTCTTATATCAGAAAGTCAGAAGAGAAAGGCACTCCCACACTTCTCCACCCCTGATAGAAAAAAAAACAGCATGGTGGAATATAGCTTCACTCTCAACACAAATGGCCTAATGGATATGGTGCTAGCCTGGAACTCATCATAGAACTGAGATAACCTTGAACTTCTGATCTACCTGCCTCCAAATCCCAAGCAATGAGATTAAAAATCTGAACCACCCCACTCAGCTCGGGTTGTTTTTTATTTTCATTTTTAATATATATTACAAACCAAATATATACATTACACAATGATATATGATATTTAATGTTGATCATATAATATTCAATATGTAATATTTAATATGTCATACATTATATTTAATATATCATACAATATCCAATATATCATAAATGATATTTAACATATAACACAGCAATATCATATAATATTTAATATACAACATATATAGTAACACAATATATTATAATATAATGTTATAAATTATATAACATATATTTTGGTCTTTAATATATAATAAGCATGTAATATATAACACATAATACATAATATGTAATAATATACATATCAATATATTATATATCATATATTAATGTACTTAATGTACACTATATCACCATACATTATACTATATTATAAACATCATATTTATGTATTAATAAAATCAATATGTTAATATATTAATGTATTTTAATACATTAATATAACAATTATTACATCATGCTATATTATATCATTATATAAATTATATTATAATATATTGTATATTTATATATGTAGTATAATAATATATAAATATATTATAGGTTAATCTATAATATATTTATATAGTATGTTATATAACACATTAAATAATATGTCAAAGTATATTAACATATTAATACACATTAATATATCAATTAGATAATATAATATATTAATATATGTTATATTATATGTTATATGTAGTAAAAACCATACATAAGTGTGTATATGTTTATTTGTTTTTTCGAGACATGGCTTCTTTGTGTAAGAGCCCTAGCTGTCCTGGAACTAGCTCTGTAGACCAGGCTGGCCCTGAACTCACAGAGATCTACCTGCTTCTGCCTCCTGAGTGCTGGAATTAAAAGCATGCGCCACCACTGTCCAGCTCATTTTTTTTTAAATTGGTTTTATTGGGCTACACATTTTTGTCTGCTCCCCTCTCCTCCTCTCTTCTCCCCTTCTCCCCTCTCCAGTGACCCCCATGCTCCCAAGTCACTCAGGAGATCTAAAGATAACCTTCCACTCTGTAGCTGAGGCTGGCCCTGCAATCACCCTCGCATTCACCACTGTAGCAAAATGGCTCAGACAAATAGGTGCTTGCCTGCATGCCTGAGTTCAACACCGGGGACACACGTGATTGGAGAAGAGAAACAATTATTGAAAGTTGTCGTCTGTTCCCCATAGGTGCAATTTTGTGGATATGCACATGCAAGCACAACACACACACACACACACACACACACACACACACACACACACACACACACTGAGGACTTAAATAAGAGAAATTAAAAAAAAATCACATTTAAAAATATAATAAAACGAGGACAAGAGTGGAACCTGGAGGCCCAACAAACAACAGAGCAAGCTAGGCAAGCTACTCACGCCTCCTCAGTGGTGAGGTACTGACTGCGCTGAAAGGCGCTCTCCAGCTCTTGGAGCTGAGCCAAGGTGAACCTGTGCTGGTAATGGACTCGGAATTCAGGCACCAGCACCCTCACGGGTTGAACACAGGACCACCGCTCGGCCAAGGACAGCACAGCCTGGTTGTCTCCCATGGCCCCACGATCTGGCTCCTGAGGCTGTGGCTCATTCTCCTGGCCATGGCCACCAACAGCGCCCTCTTGGTTCCCATCATCCACGGGGCCTGCTGCGCCAGCAGCTGAGGGGCCTTCTCCTGCTTCTGCTCCGGCTGCTTCTGCGGCTATGGCTGCAGCGGCTGCGGCTCCGCGCCCAGCCTGGCCCGGTCCACTGGCTTCCTCATTTCGTCCCTCTCCAGCCTGCAAGACCGTCGATGCCTCAGCCTCTGGAAGTGGGAAACAGAAAGGGCACCGAGGTGACAGGGCCTCGTGATGCGAAATCCCGTGAAGTCGAGCGCCAACAGGCGACGCCAGTACACGGGGCCTGCCCCGCCGCCTCTGTGGACGCTCCTCCCCCCATGGACAGCACCACCCCACCGTTCCTAGCACGCACTGACCATCCCAGTTGTCATCGTCGTCGTCAAGTCCCACGTAAAGCAGGTAATCGAAGTTTTGACGCTCCATGTCCTTCCAGAATGCCGGCGTTGCAGTGGCTTATGGCTTGCTGTCCGTCGTGCCTCTGACGTGTCGGAGCCGGAGCTCCCTGACGTTCCGGAAGTAAGGTCTCTCAGCCTCAAGGACTTGCTATATCTCTATAGCTTCTGAGTTGGAGCCCTCTACCGCTCTGGGAGTGAGGCTCCTCAACCCGCAGGGGTTTTCCTGGTTTCCGGGTCCCCCCCCCCCCTCATAGTCCTTATTAGCATGTATCCAATCCTGGCCATGCCGTCCTGGCTTCCGGTTGGCCTGCAGTTGTTATGGTCTGCGATCCTCAGGGGCAAAACTGAGTGCAGCCTGAAGCTTGAGTGAGCTGCATGTGTTTGTGCGGGAACGGGTGGCACCTGGACAACGGAATAGAAGGGGCCTTCCGAGTTGCAACTTCATGAGTCCTTTCACCATGGTGACTATCTTCCTAGGGAACGGGTGGTGGTCAACCACAGGAACCGATTTGCAGGGGGCAAGAAAAGATCCACCAGAAGCCTTTAAGACCTTGTGGAGATGTGAGGACAATATCTCTTAGTCTTGACATTGGGTCCTTGCAACTTGGCAGAGAATGGGTACTAAGTAATGTGTTTATCTGGGAGGCTCTTCTTTGAACTTCCCCAGCAAGGTAGATCCTGCCTTGCTTCCGTGTTCTGACTTTGCAGGAGCTTGGGCAGGGTTGCAGGACCTGGGGCTGTTCAGCAGGCAGATCGGTGGGCTCATCTTCACCAGGGCTACTGAGGAGGAGCTTAGTAGTACCGTCCAGCCTTCATGAGCGCTGGCAAAGCGTGAGAATAGTCACACCTGTGCTGAGGTTCCTCACCTTTCTCTTGAACGCATTTTTAACGTCTTCTGTGAATGGTCAGAGTGTCAAGAGCAGGCCTTTGTGCCTGGTTTCCATCCCAGAGTCAAGCAGCCCCTTTCCTGGCAGGTGGTCAGACTGGTTCCAAGGCAGCCAGCTTTTCCAAGCATGTTCTGGTCACTCTTAAAATGGAAGGAGCCCTAAAGTACTAGTGTCTGTCCAGACACACTCTATTTGGTGCTGGGAATATTCTGGAGCCCTGGTGCTGAAATTCTTCCAGGATAAGACTTACCTCACAGTTCTGGTAACTACCTCACCGCTAAATCTGCATATGTTTGCTTCCTGCCCTTTGTTTTTACTGTATGACCTGAATCTCCTTTTGTTGAGGTCCCCAGGACCTGGGAAATATTTTTCTCTCTTCCTTCTGTGATTATAAAGACACTCATTTATGTGCTGGGGATGTAGCTCATTGTGCAGAGTCCTTGGCAAGAATTTCTAAAAGCTTGGATTTGAGCTCCCCAATTGCATAAAGTGACAGGCTGTCCCAGGCTGAACACTGACACAGGAAGATAATAGCTTCAAAGTCCTTCTTTGTCTCAGAGGGAGTTTTAATCCTGCCTTGGGCATTTGGTCTCAAGAAAGAGAGAAAGAGGGAGAGAGAGGCATAGAGAGAGAGATCCCTTTCTTATTTCATCTTATCAGTTCCGTCTGTCACTCCTCATTTTCCTGCCAAGCAGAGAGCAAAGGGCATGATTTGGTTTTTAAAATGTTAACCATGTTGGTTTCAGAAATTCTGTGAACATACAGCTTTGTCCCATAGCCTCCTTGGTAATGCAGGTGTTTCTATCCTGTCTCTCAAGTGGCCCTGCATTTCAGGCCCTTAGGACAGAACTCCACTGAGCTACAGCCCTGCTCTCCTGAGCTGCAGGTGCCCCTCTTGCATGTCCCCTTTTGCATGGCGGCTTCAGATTGCAGCAGGAGTTCAGAGGGATTGGGGAACCCTTCTGATCAGGACCCTGCTGAGGAATTCCAGCCTTGCATAGGAGAACATGGCCCCTTGTGTGTCTAGAGAAGTCACTGGGGGCTACAGCCTTTGGAACTCTTGAAACCCAGCTTCTGCTGTTCAGTGCCCCTCTATACCATGTGATATTGGAAGATCCCAGGCTGTCTCATGGGTACCACAGAGAGCTGAAAGGGTAGACACGATACTGACCAACACGGAGTGGTTCTTTTTTTCCCCTTTATTTTCTTTATTATTATTATTTATTTATTAAGGATTTCTGTCTCCTCCCCGCCACTGCCTCCCATTTCCCTCCCCCTCCCCCAACCAACACCCCCTCCCTCATCAGCCCAAAGAGCAATCAGGGTTCGCTGTTCTGTGGGGAGTCCAAGGACCTTCCACCTCCATCCAGGTCTAGTAAGTTGAGCATCCAAACTGCCTAGGCTCCCACAAAGCCAGTACGTGCAGTAGGATCAAAACCCAGTGCCATTGTTCTTGACTTCTCAGCAGTCCTCATTGTCTGCTATGTTCAGCAAGTCCGGTTTTATCCCATGCTTTTTCACACCCAGTCCAGCTGGCCTTGGTGAGTTCCTGATAGAACATCCCCATTGTCTCAGTATGTGGGTGCACCCCTCGCAGTCCTGAGTTCCTTGCTCGTCCTCTCTCTCCTTCTGCTCCTGTTTTGGACCTTGAGATTTCAGTCCGGTGCTCCAATGTGGGTCTCTGTCTCTGTCTCCTTTCATCGCCTGATGAAGGTTAATATCCAGGAGGATGACTATGTGTTTTTCTTTGGGTTCTCCTTCTTATTTAGCTTCTCTAGGATCACGAATTATAGGCTCAATGTCCTTTATTTATGGCTAGAAACCAATTATGAGTGAGTACATCCTGTGTTCCTCCTTTTGGGTCTGGCTTACCTCACTCAGGGTAGTGTTTTATATTTCTGTCCATTTGCATGCAAAATTCAAGAAGTCATTGTTTTTTTACTGCTGAGTAGAACTCTAATATGTATATATTCCATATTTTCTTCATCCATTCTTCCATTGAAGGGCATCTAGGTTGTTTCCAGGTTCTGGCTATTACAAACAATGCTGCTATGAACATAGTTGAGCATATACTTTTGTTGTATGATAGGGCATCTCTTGGGTATATTCCCAAGAGTGGTATTGCTGGGTCTAGGGGTAGGTTGATTCCGAATTTCCTGAGAAACCGCCACACTGCTTGCGGAGTGGGTCTTGAATCTTTAATGACATCTCCAGTTTTTTCATACATCTTGCTTTTATTTGTATTTAGTTCTAAAACATTTTCTTGATTCTTTGTGAATTTCACATCACACATCCTAATATGACTCATTCCCCTGTCTCCTCGCTCCTGCCCTCTGCCCTTGCAATCTCCCCTGCCAAAATAAAGTTTAAAAGTAAATCAAAACCCGAACCAAATCACAAAAAAAATCAAACACCCCTCAAACCTCGGTGCAGAAGCTGTGCTGTGTCACAGGTCACCCTTCAGTCCACACATATATGCCCTTTTCTTGAAAGTGCTCATTGCACGGAGTCATTGGTCTGGTCCGGGGCCTCTGGTTTCTGCTGCGCTGTGGGTACTGGGCCCTGACTAGGACCCTCTTGGATATCCTGTGTTGCTCCCCCCCACCCCCCGTGTTGTTTAGACCCTGCAGCTTTGGGTCTGTGCTGTCACGTGCTCTAGAGGCTCATAGATGAGGTGGGTGTGGGGTGGGCTACCTTGTTGTCCTGATTCTGGGTCTGGCTGGTAGCTGGTCTGGTTCAGCCTGCCAGCTTTCCCTCTCTGTCACCACCCAGGAGAGATCTCCATGTCTTGGCCTGTGGTCCTACCACAGCCTGAGTCTGTGCTGATGTCCGTGACCCGTGTTGCTACCAAACACCACACTGATGCCCAGGATCTGGGCTCCCACCCTGTGGCCTTCTTGGTGCCTGAGAGCTGTACCACTGCTGAACCCATACTGACCTGAGTGTCGTGTGCTGCAACCTAGGCCCAGGGTGTCATATGGGCCCGAGCTGCAGCAGGGACCAAGTCTGGGTCAGTGACCCTGCCACAGCCGGGGTCTGCACTGATGTCTGAGATTCCTGTGTGGATGCTCAGGATCTGGGCTGACACCTGGGCCATACAGGTGTTCACAGGCCATGCTGTTCAGAGGGACCTGCACTGCCACCTGGGGCCACTGTGACATCTGGGCCTGGGCCCCTGCCGAGGACCCTGTCTGAGCCCATGGTCCAACCACAGCAGGGACCTGTATTGCTATCCATGGCCCATATTGCCACTAAGGGCCACTCAGACGCATCAAGGGCCTGAGCACCACCAAGGGTCAGATCACTGTTGGGGGGTTGAGCCTCTGTTGGAGCCATGGAGATCTGAGGAGCCTGTGCTGCTACCAGGGCCATGGTTTCACTGGGGGCCTGGGCTGTCCCTAAGGCCCTTGTCTGGCTTGGAACTGGCTGGGTCTGTGATCCTGCTGCCTCTGTGGTCTGTGGTATGTCCCTGGCTCCTGTCACCACTGAAAGCAGTGAGGATTGGGCTGCACAGAGTTGGTCCTGCCCCTCACTGGCTGAAGCACTAGGGAGAACTGGCCCTGCCCCCACCCACTGCAGCTCTCAGAACAGGCTCTGCACCTTGCCAGGACAGCACAGCAGAGCTGGGGTGCAGGTGATTCAACCCTGAAGACATGCGAGTGGAGAGCTAGCCCATGGTCTATCCCATGGTAGCATGAGGAGGGAGAGATACCCCTTGCCCCAGGCACCTTACCTACTCCAGGCGGGAAAAGCTGGTCCCAGGGTCCAAGAGTGGGAGAGCTGATCCTGCCCCTCACAGACTGCAGCACTCAGGAAGGTAGGCCCTGCACTTTGTCCAGGCAGCACTGTAGAGCTGACCCCCATTGATGGGGGTACAGATGATCAGGCCATGGGAATGCTTGAGGGAGATCAGACCCCAGCCCTCATCTGGAATATGGTAGAGTGGGTGAGGGGGAGATGACCTCCCTCCCTCTCAAACCCTTTGCCACCTGAGGCAGGTGGCTGATCTGGCCCTGAGGAGGCACAGTTGGAGAATAGGCACTGCCCCCTATTGGCAGTGCTGGGAATCAAATCCGGGTCACCTGGCAGACCAGCAGTGTTCTTAAGGCCTTCTGATTTCACCTATTAAAAAAAATCATTTGCACCTTAAAAATAAGATGGGATTCCTTTATTTTAAAAATGTTTCAAGAGATACTAAAATCTTACATTTATATCATAGTTAACAAAAATATTCCTTTGTATTTTACAAGAAGAACGACAGGGACTGCTGATAGGGCGCATGACTAATCACGCTAGATTTTCTTTTTAAAAATATTATTGGGATTTTATTTTAAATCTCAAAATTACTT